TTTTTCCAACAGAAACTATGATGAAAATATAGTTTTTACTTTTTAGTTGACTGCAAAAATGAGGTTCTTAATTTTTCTGTATTTTTTCACATTAAGTATGATTCCCACAAGTCTAGTATAGTGCAAGATGTGTGTATAGCATTAACATCGTTTGAATTAGTAATTACAAGTTTTGCAATCGTATCAAATGTTAGGTGAAGTTACTTGATATGAGGCTGTGTCTAAAATAATTATATACTCTGTATATTTGTCGAAATATGACTCGTAAAGGTTTGAAATTTAGGTTAATGGCACCGGTCGTTTTGAAATCATATTCGTCCTATCAAAGGGCTTGCAATTTATGTTTTACGGAGATGCGCCTTACATATTCATGTGGCATAATAAATTCTCTTTTGGATTAATATTATCAAACTATAAATTAATAAACATTTATTGAATTGTTTATCAGCCACCAAACCATAGTAAGTTGCTTTTATAGGTAGAGTTAGTAGGTAATTACTTAGTAGAAGCTTAACTCAAACAAAATGATTACAAGTGTTAATTTTTCTTTTAACAATAAGAGGCTTGTTTGTTTTTTTTCGTAAGATATTGACTTTAGAGTTTACTTCTTACTAATCTTGTAAATGCGAATGTTTAGATGGATCTATATGAAATTCGGCATGGATGTAGAACATAGTCTGGAAGAACACAATGGCTACTTATTAAGTATTTCTTTTAATTTCGCGAGGACGGCGTTTCGTGCGAAGGCTAGTATCAAAATAAAACAACAGATTATTTACGAAATACGTTGCAAGAATCTTAAGACAAAAGAGGTCTTACAATAAAGCTATGTGTAACCAATAGTATTGTAAGAGATTTATTATAGTCTTTGTATTCTGGTAACATTATTTATGTACAGTATTATGTACAGTCTAATTAGTTTTTATATAATTAAGATAAAGGCATTTATTATTTCTGCCGCAAATAAAAATTAACAAATAAATATTACAAAACTATATGATTAATACCAAAACGTAAAAATTCAATTTTATATAGTAAATCTTACTTTAAAAGTAACTATTTTTTAATATACTCCCATATACTTATTTTAAGGTTTGAATTTTAACAGTAATATTTATAACAAGGATATTTAATCGAGAAATACTTTTAAAACGTCACTGATACTCATCGTTTCTTATTTGATTAATTGTACGTCCATAACACTCGATCATTCGACGCATATGTTATGATGAATTTGAACATTGCTAATAAAAGTAACCACAAATAAAATTTCTGTAAGGATAATCTCCAACATGACTTTATAAATTTTTATGTTGGCTGTAATAAAATATTCCTTATATGTATTAAATGATAACACGCCCTTCTTTGCATGTAAAGTGGACACTGAAGTAATGTTATTCTCACACGAGGGCAGAACAGTCTGGCAGAGCAGTAGGATAATGCAGTACTCCTACTGTTTAAACACAAGTTTACTTTAAAAACAATTTTGTTTTATCTCCGCGTCCACATTCAAACTATAGCAGTACTGTTCTGTCTTTCTGTTCCGCCTAGCTATATTTCCCTCGTGTGAAACTGACATAACTGCTTGATTTAAATGTCATCTCACGTGTTATAAGGCCAGTCGCCCACAACCACGTAAGCTTCAAAGCTGCCGTAACTCGGTTTTTATCGACCTCATTTTTCTTAAGCTCACGTCCTGATTCCAGATTATTATTTGAAGTTAAGTCAGCCCGAAAATGTCCGTACATTTTGTGCAACCGTTTGCACATGAGTAATATATCTTTTATGTACGTGTTTAATAAATATATAAATAATATTATAGAAATTTATTGAAATACAATAATCTTACACACAACATTTCATCTACATATTTGTCTAAAAGTAGCTTAATTTTTTTTTCATTTAAGCATCACATCATATTCTCTCTAGGTTTTTACTACTAAAGTCTACACTGAAGTTGAAGAAAGATATTTTTATTATTATATCGCTACACATTTTATGCTTGTAAGACATACGATACATTCATTTGTTACAAATGTTGTAATACGAAGAGGTTCAATATTACACAACTTTCATGTTTACGGCCACAGAACTTTATTGTTATTAATGGTAGTAAATAAGATTACCGTCATACCTTGAATAATTGGAACAGATGTTCCACTTTTATTTGATCATATTATAGTAAAGATTGATGTAGTTAAACTGATATATAAGGACGGCTAAACACTCACGTATATACGTCCGGTGGCGGCACCGACTAGTTTCGAGCCCATCGGGTGCCCTTCATCAGGATGAGTGACCGGACGTATATACGTGAGTGTTTAGCCGTGTTTATATATCAGTTTAGTATAATGTCTCACGAAAGTTTGAATAATTTAATTGATGTAGTTGTTATAATCAATATGTAAATTGTAATATATTATATATAAAATTATCGTGTCACAATTTTCGTTCCCATACTCCTCCGAAACGGCTTGACCGATTCTCATTAAATTTTGTGAGCATATTGACTAGGTCTGAGAATTGGCCAACATATATTTTTAATCTCGCGACGACGGAGTCGCGGGCGACAGCTAGTATAATATGAGTTTAACAGCGTCTTTCATCAAAAATCAGAAGTAACCAATGTTTTGCGATATAGAACATGAAGTTATTACCAAAAAGGCATTCGTAAAAATTTGATATTAAATAATAGTACATAATCAGCCATAATTTAGTTTTAACAAATGGTTGATATAATTAATCTTTTACCGTGGGTTTCTGAGACTAAAATCTCTGTATAAAACACAGACATAATATGTTTCAAACAGAGATTTAAGACTTAAAAACCCACAATAATAATACAATGACGTTTCGACGTACGCTTATTTTTTTTTTTATTTATTAGTACAAACCAACAGAAATATGTAAGTATGATCATTATAAAATTCTACGAATGCTGTAGTGAGATAAAAATAAAACCTGCCATAATTAATTTAGCGAGCCTAACATTTATGTTAGTAGCTAAAAGTGGAGCAAAACGTCTTATATAATATTAATTAAATACATAATCTGTTAATACGATCTCGCATTTAGGGTTATCGATATTATGTAGAGTAGTAATGCGGGCAGTCGGCCGCTGTGCGAAAACGAAAGTGTTATGCGGCCTACTTGCTGCTTTTGGGCTATTACGTAAGTCGGTGCAACGGTGCATCGTCTTGTATCGCGGTATGGGATTATGTAAAACAACTAGACATGGCTATTGTTTGTCCAATCTATGATTGGGGTAATTTAAATTTCCTGCATTAAGGGCCCACCAGTTCTCAAAGTAGGTTTTAGAAGTGTGCTGAAGTGTCACGAAGCTTAGAAGTGATGAGCATACTCAGAGTGCTTAAGAAAAGTTCGTAATATTATTTTTAAGTATAAAAGTAAGATATAGTAAAATTTATTACGTTCGCAAATCACGTAAGCTTTTATAAAGTAAAGTTCTTTGGAAATAATTAAGTAGTAACATAGTGATATGTCGATGACCTTGAATTTACAAAAAACTTCGAATAAAACAACTGAAGAACATATTATTTATTGAACTAATGTCAATTCCAAGTATAACGTAAATATTGATGAGAAATTTCTTTGAATCTTTTCAAAATTTCGCATCTCGCAATCGAACGAATACCGATTTTGTGGTCACATCAATTTAATAAAAAGTTAAGTTTGGGTTTCTCCCCGAAAATGCAAATTTATAATCCAACCTTTGTATTGTTCAATTTTTCCTTTTTTGTAACACTGACTTCATTTCATAATAATCTTTTCGTAGACTTAATTTTACAACATAAATGACATAAAAACTTTATAATCTTAGAATAATTACCCCTTTTGAATTTGTATATCTCACGATATTATGAAATAATATCTTAACACCGAAAACGTATGCAGGAAGCGTTATTTAGCAGTAATTTTATGAATGCTCAATAAATGTTATGAATAAGAGGAAGGTAGCTTAATTCCCATACTCACACAAGCTATAAAGGAACTTAATGTTGAAATTCTCAGAATATCTAATAACCACATAAGCTCAGTGGTTCAGTGCCTGGTTTATAAGTTAGGAATTCGATTTTGTTTTTTGGGTGATGATGTTTATACGAAGTAAGAAAAATTCTAAAGGCAGCGGTGTAGGTAGTAAACGAAAGCACTTGAAGACGTATGAGTTCGGCGGTTAAAGGCTAAAACTTTTGTGGATTTGGATTTGTACATGGAGAAAATTGTAGTCATTATCATCACTGTGTGTACTACTCCTCCATACATCTCTATCAACCGTCATTTCTGAATCTACCCCCTTCTCACATCCTCCTTCTTATATTTTCCTGAATTTTTTTTTGTTCTTTTTTCGTATATTAAATTTGACTCATGTGTAATTTGAATTACATATTATTGTTGCACTTTTCATATAGGTACTTGATTCGATGATGAGATTCAAAGATAAGACAAATTTAAATTGTCCCAGCCGCCTTGTTCTCAGAGCTTATTTCGCTTGGGAATTTCTAATAAAAGACTTCAACGCGAGACAAAGCGACCTTACCTAGCTAATGATGCGAAAATATCCATTTGAATGAACATTTTTTTATTAAGAAAGATTAAGTGATATTTCTAAAAAAAATTTAAAATATGTTTTAAATTTTAATAAAGATATCTTAATAACTGTATTGGGTAAGTTATCGGTCCATTAATGCTTGAAATGTTACATTGACTTATCACCTAATCTGAATGCAGTTGTTTTTGGCAAGTACCTAAGTACCTACTTAGATTCCTGAATTGTTTTAATACTATGTTTGCAGCTTTTCCTGGTTCCAAATTTCGAGAGTTGAGTAAGTTGAATAATTGAAAAGAAAAATAGCATCTAATATAAAATTCGCCAGTCGTTCAGTATCCCTGACATTTGATCAGCTTCCGTAACCCTATAGGACCTTCAAGTGTAAGAAATGTACTGGCGACGGCCCCACCACTGTTGTCCGCTGGTGAGCCGGCGTAGGCGATGCGGGCCGTTTGACGCTCACTCTCGTTGCCGCGCTGAACCCGCGCGCCGCGTCGACAATGCGGTGGTGAGCTGTGCAAGTGACTAGTGTTGTACTCAGACCGTGATTTTTGTGTATCCTATCGATTCAACATGAGGTCCTTCGGACTAGCAGCGCTTTTCGCTTTCGCGATATTAACAGGTAAGCGTATACCGAAGAGTTTTAATCAAATTTATTTATTTATTTACATATGTATAATTAATAATTTAATCTATATTTTAGGTATTTTAATTTTACATTTATATTAGAACTGCATATAGGGTTTGGAGACAATTGTTTTCTCATGTTAAGTAGATATTTTTTATTTATATTTATAATATTTAATTTCTGCGTAAAAGTTGTTGATTATTTTAATATTTTAAGTCAAAAATATATATAATTTTTTCTTTAATAGATGTTTTTTTATTGAAATTAATATTAAAGTAATAGCTGTTTGAATCGAAAAGTCACCCTTTATTATCAAAAGGTCAATCAACTTGACCTATTGCATTTCAAATGGCTTACGACCAGCAATTGCAAATGTTAAAAACTTTTTAAACGAATTCTATTAAATTTTATAATAAAGTGAATATGAATTTAACATTGAATGTGTAAAAGTTTCAGTCTTTCGAATGTCGTTGAACTTTATTGAAGTATCAATATTGCGCGCCTCACGTTCGATATATCTCTAATGACAAAGCATTTTGCACCGAGATGAGATATTAATTCGAGAAAAAGAAATAACGGAACTTTCTTTTGAACATGTTGTGTAATATTCCATGAGTTATTACTAAGTTTAAATTCATATTTTGCATAATGACCGCACAATATACATAAATATGCAACAGCTTTGCAATGAATTCACGAAGAAAATATTTGAATAATTACATTTAATAACGTAGCACGCGAACTATCTTTATTTGAAAAATTAATTATTTTTTATTTAAAAAACGAGAAGACGTCACCAGTCAATTTATATGTATTTTTTTCATTTTTTTAAACCGTAAATAAAATGTATGACAAAATAAAAAATGCTAATGACGTGATTTCTTTCGACTTGATGCAATATTTTGCTGCAGTCATCAAGCAAACTAATCAACTTGACAATCGTGATTTTATTCATGAGCAATCAGCTGTTGCTCTTGACTCTACCCACGTGAAAAAAAAAATAACTCAATAGCCTATGCGCTATTACAGACTGTAATCAATCTCTGTTCTAAGTTGGATCCACATGCATTGTTATGTGTTAACAAAATTTAATGTTATAACATTACTAGTATCCCGCGACTTCGTCCATGGAATTAAAAAATAAATATCAAAAATATAGCTTATGTCACCCGGGAATAGTTTAGCTTTTCAACTGTGAAAGAATCCTTCAAATCAGTTCAGTAGTTTGGGAAATATTCAATGCAAACATATATACAATCATATCTTTCCTTTTTATAATATTAATAGAAAAAGTAAGCTAACATACCAATTTCTATATCAATTATAAATTAAAAGATATTAAATAAAACATTTGTATGTAAGTTTAACTATTACCAACACGCTAGACGTTTTCACCTTCGCTTTCTGTAAGAATTTATATTCCTACGGTACCTCGAAGGCTCCATTGTCAGTGCAATGGGAACTACGACTACAAAAACGATACATTTTCTTAACTAACTATAATTATAGTGGTTGGAAACTGGTATTAATTGTGCATTATTGTTGAAAAAGTAATGTTTTTCTTTAACTTACTTACGCTCTTTTTTATCCTAGAGGTTTTTTTTAATCATACCCTTACCGTAGGTTTAACTACGTATGTAGTCGTTGTTTAATTAGTTTGTAAAATTTGTTCTAGATATGAGATATTGATTATTGTTAGAGGATAAATGTATTTGTCGTAATTCTATAATATAATAGTATTCATTTTATTTTCGTCTCGTCTCTAAAGTTTCGTAATCCGTTGACCCCGGATCATTGTACGATGCGTAACGAAGATGTTTTTGGAAACACATCACGATGGTCGTTCGCTTAATTTTTCCCTGAGATTTTCCTCTTAAATGGGTTTAATATCATTACATACTGATTCAAATAGAATTCCCTGACATACAAAAAAAAAAGGAAAATAATTAAAAGAAGAACCTTTTTAACAGCAAGCTTTTTTCTTGTTAATTAAAAGAACTAGAAATTAAATAAATGAAAAAGTTATCATCAAGCTCGATTCACGATTCAAAACAGCTCAAACTGGATTGTGTCCTTTCATTGTATATATTCTGGCTATCCTCCAGCTCCATCTTCAGATCAGCACCATGTTATATAGTACAGTACACATATATGCAAAATTTAATCTCAATTTGTAATGACCGGGAGTTGGTACAATTTTAATTAGCAATTTATTCTTATGCTTTTTGGACTTTTTAGTGGTGTTGAAAACATATTCTTTAGTTATTCTTCTTCTTTCATGTAAGGTCAAAAGAAGTTTAATATAGGTAACTTATAACATTATTTCTACGTTTTTATATACTTTTGAAGTTGGTGTGACAAAAGAATATTATTTGACCTTTGTTATCGAAAAGAATGTAGATGTAAGATATATTACTTTTGTCAAATCCGTCTGCATCGTGAGTCACATCGAATCCTGTTAGAGTCTGTAGGTCGTTGTTTTGTCATCTAGTCGTCGTAAATTTTACAAGCATTTTTCTAATTTACCCGTTATTATTTACATATTTGGTTGCTTATCAGCAAAATATTTGATTTTATATCATTCTTTTATTTTTATTTGGTTGCTAAGCCTAGCTTAATATGCCAGCACGCATCATTTACCTTTTCATCGAAGTCCTTTCAAAATCGGCCCCTACGTTGTGAAAATGTGCCCGAATAAACCTAAGAGATTACCCGGAATAAACGCGCATTTGTGGACAGACGGACAGACAGGCAAAATAAAAAAAAGGATTTTTCGTTATCAGTAATCATGTGTGCGAAATATTATTTTTTTATATTACATACAGACACTCCAATTTTCAATTTCCTATTATAAAGCTTTATAGCTTTTTACCGTATCAAGTTGTATGTTTTAATATTAATAAAAACGTCTGTTCGTATTTTAATAAGACGATTAAATCTAGCCTGTTAAGGTCGTTTGCCTGTTTTTATTAACTGTTATTTGAGTCGCAAAAATATTACACCTACGACAACGAATATTCATAGAACAAGAGTGAGAAAAAACCTACGCATGCATACATAGAAATATATTAACACGAGCTGTTGCCCGCGACTCCGTCCGCGCGGTATTAAAAAACAAATTAATTAGCATCCTATGTGATCTTCCAGACAAGTTTTTAGGTCTATGACAAATTTCAGAGAGCTATACTCGACATACCTTCAAATAAACAACCACACATGTATCCATATATTCTCATTTACAGTATTAGTAAGAAGTAAGATAGTAAGATAAGTTTTAGAAGTGATAAGACGTATTAAATAAAGGTATAAAATTTTAGAATTCGTAAAATATAGAACTTTTTAATATTGTTGTGAAGAAATGAATAATAGTAAGTGATGTCCATTGCAACATGCTAGAGTAAACCTTAATATATTAAAATAAGGTATAATATGTATTACAAAATAATTTCTTATTTAGAAAGTGCCTTGTACGTTATTGTAAATGGTAAAAGTATTATGTTAGTTTTTCTATTATTATTCATTTCATTATAATCTTGAAACATATTGCGACTGCTTTCAATAAGTTAAAAGAGATGTAAGCATGTATGTCTGACAGATTTCATAATAGTGTGATACAGAGCATCGATATGTCACGGCTGAATCGCATTCGAATCACAAACGACCCGGCGACACGCATTTTTCGACTAAAATAGAGTACAATGCGTCTACAGTTACTCCACAGTCGTTCAATGATTCGTAACGCAGCATTGTTATGTAAACAATTTTCCAATTCCACTTCCAAATTGAATGAGAATCGAGATCGTGAATTCGTGGTGCGGATCACAATTGCAGATTTGCGGCGGTCACTCTCCAGTTGGCCAATCGTTTTGAGTGACCTTCTATTATTCATGTATGTAAAGTTGATTAAAATAAGCCTATTAAGACGAGAACCTGAGTCATCGAGACACATCTTATATTATCAAGTTTTATATGACAGAAAATTCTATTAAAATCCTTAAATTCAAAACTCTGTTATAAAAGAGAACTAATATTATAAATGCGAATGTTTAGATGGACGGATGTTTGTTTGAAGGTAAAACCTGAACAGCTCAACGGATCCCGTTGAATTAGCATAGATATAGAACATAGTCTGGAAGAACCATAGGCTACTAATTCGTTTTTTCTTTAATTTCGCGTCAACGGAATCGCAGGCGACATCTAGTCTTACTATCTTATTTCTTACTAGTATTAAAAACTTGGATACATACAAATGACGATGACAACATACGCCCATTGCCTTATCCAATACTAACGGTAACATCGTATTACGATGTTAACTTTCCAACCTTGGATATTATGATATCACTTTCCTTCGCGCTGCTGGTCCCCGTTTAATTGCGGGGAAATTAGTGTTTTGTAATCGTTTTGTACGAAGGCCGATTACCGCTGAAACGTAAGCTACGTGTTATAAGGAAATCATTTTTTTTTATTTAATTTTATTATTATATTTCACGTGTGAAAATAGGCAGTTTTTCTTTGAGTCAACCCCGTAGAAATTCAAAATTATCTTTGAAGTAAATCAACTCGCATTATGCCAATGTGTTTCGCTATGACCTTGTCATCCTACCCTAAGGTAGACTCCGTGCCGCTCAGTGGTGACGTATAGTGAGCAGATGATGACTCCGAAAGCCAATTAAGACTTAAGTCGTAGAATTATGACTCTTTGAAATAATTTCAATAATACACTACAAACTAATTCTGTGAACATTATTGTCGTCAAAAGTTTGTTACATAGGCAATGATATAAAGATATAAAATTTTCATGAATGAAAAATTTAGCAGTATTTCACAAGTGTATGTACATGAATTCGTCATTCAACAAGACAGCAGAATCTCGGCCAAGGCTCTAACGGCCTGTGTTTCACAAACATCGGAATTAGTAATTCTGTATGCATCTACGCGTTCCACTAGGCCCATATAGAAAACAAAGAATATAGAACTCTTTTAAAATACTT